TTTTGAGATGGAGTCTGGAGTGCAGTGGCACAGTCTCAGCTCACTGCAACCTCTGCCTCCTAGGTTCAAGCAATTCTTCTGCCTCAGCCTCCTGAGTAGGTGGGATTACAGGTGTGTACCACCATGCCTGGCTAATTTTTGTATTTTTAGTAGGAATGGGGTTTCATCATGTTGGTCATGCTGGTCTTGAACACCTGACCTCTTGATCCCTCCGCCTTGGCCTCCCAATGTGCTGGGATTATAGGTGTGAGCCACGGTGCCCAGCCTGAGTTTAAGACTTTTAAGTCAATTCAGAGAAAGGAGCTCAAATGTGGAAACTTTGTTCTGAGTTGTTCATTCTTTGAAGACCTAGTGGTTAGGAGTATAGACTCTGCAGTCAGACTGCCAAGGTTTAAATCTCTGCTCTACTACTTTCTGGCTGTCTTATCTAAGCAAGTTCTGTAACCTCTCTACTGCTCAATTTCCTCTTCTAAAAAGTAGGAATAATAAGAATACTTGCTTTAGGATTATAAAAACTAAATGAGATAATCTATATAAGGTGCTTTGCATTAAATGTGTGATACTTAGGTACTCAGTAAATTATTTTTTTGAGACCAAGTCTCACTCTGTCACCAGGCTGGAGTGCAGTGGCACGATCTCATCTCACTGCAACCTCTGCCTCCCAGGTTCAAGCGAATCCCCTGCCTCAGCCTCCCAAATAGCTGGGACTACAGGCATGTGCTACCACCCCCAGCTAATTTTCATATTTTTAATAGAGACAGGGTTTCACCATGTTGGCCAGGATGGTCTCAATCTCTTGACCTTGTGGTTTGCCCGCCTTGGCCTCCCAAAGTGCTGGGATTATAGGCATGAGCCACTGCACCCGGCCGGTACTCAGTAAATTTTAACTTGCAGTTCTCATTGTTTTGAGCACCGTCCACATGCTAAGCACCATGCCCATGCACACCATAGGCAGTTTGTAGAAGAAAATGGTGTTTACACTTATTGCTGTGATGTTTACATAAGTTTATTCATGTTTCTGTGGACTCTTTATCTAACATAAATAGTTGAAACAGCTGTAGCTTCTTTATAAAAACCTCTAGCTCGTGAAGCTCCTTATAGCACATATTGTGGGTACTACTTCTATGGAATATGTTATTTTACTTCTGTTTGTGACCTTATTGTCTCGCTAGATTCTACACCCTTCACAAACCGGAACTATACATAAAAGTTTTCTTATGCCACTAAGAGTTATTGAATGGGTACTAGACAAAGTGTTTATTAATAAAAATGAACATGTAATGTATAATCTTAATTAAAATAGGTTAAGAAATTTAGTTTTTCAGAATGAACCCTTAACTGGAAAAATAATGGTATTAAGAGCAGCTGAACAGAATTGTATTAAATATGATAACTAGACTGGGGGAGGTGGGTCATGCTTGTAATCCTAGCACTTTGGGAGGCTCAGGTGGGTGGGTGGGTTACCTGAGGTCAGGAGTTCGAGACCAGCCTGGCCAACATGGTGAAACCCTGCCTCTACTAAAAATACAAAAATTAGCTGGGCATGATGGCACACACCTATAATCTCAGCTACTCGGGAGGCTAAGGCAGGAGAAGTGCTTGAGCCCAAGAGATGGAGGTTGCAGTGAGTCAAGGTAGTGCCACTGTACTCTAGCCTGGCCTACAGAGTGAGACTCTGTCTCAAAAAAAAAAGGGGGGGGGGGAAGATAACTGTAGCTATAAAATATAATTGTTCTTATTCTAGAATAGCTATATAAAGTGAAAATAATAATTGGATGATAGGGACAAAATCTGAGAACATGACAGAAAAAACAGGACCAAGAAACAGAGGAGAATATGCAGTGCCAAATTTTTGTTTGTTTATTTTTTTAGACAATCTCGCTCTGTCACCCAGGCTGGAGTGCAGTGGCGTGATCTCAGCTCACTGCAACCTCCGCCTCCTGGGTTCAAGTGCTTCTGTGTCTCAACCTCCTGAGTAGCCGGGGTTACAGGTGTGCGCCCCCATGCCTGGCTAATTTTGTATTTTTAGTAGAGGTGAGGTTTCTCTGTGTTGGCCTGGTTGGTCTTGAACTCCTGACCTCAAGTGATCTGCCCACCTCAGTCTCCCTAAGTGCTAGAATTATAGGTGTGAGCCACCATGCCTAGCCAAATGTGCCAGATTTTTAATATTTCTGGGTGATTGGGGAAATAGTTGTAATTATTTGAAATTTAAATAATTTAAAATGTTTAATTTTTAAGTTAATAAGTTTAGGAATGTAAGTTTATCATTTAAAGGTATGAAAATAACCACTGTTACATATAAAAGTATACTTGGTTATATATTCTAAGTAACAGGGGAGGAAAGTGCAGGGGAAGTTTGGTGGGTTACGCTTTTCAAGGAAGTATAGGAGTTCCTTTAAATTACTAATGAAAAACTTTTTCTTCCAGACAAGATGGACCTTCCAAAAGCAACCAAGAAGTAAACTCTGATGACAGACGACCCCAATGGAGACGAGAAGACCGAATTCCTTACCAAGACAGAGAGAGTTACAGCCAGCCTGCATGGCATCATCGTGGACCTCCACAACGGGATTGGATGTGGGAAAAAGATGCCTTTAATAATACTAGGCAAAACAGCTTTCCACATGCTTTGAGGAATGGTGGTGGACCAAGAGGACGTTCTGGGTGGCATAAGGGTGTTGCGGGAGGCTCCTTGACTTGGTTTCACAACTATAGTAATTCTGGAGGTGGTTGGCATTCAAAGAGTGGAGCAGTTGATTGGAATCATAATGGTCCAGGAAGGAATTCCAGTTGGCATTCTGAAGGAACAGGTGGCTTTTCCAGTTGGCATATGAACAACAGTAACGGAAACTGGAAATCCAGTGTACGTAGTACAAATAATTGGAATTACAGTGGCCCTGGAGACAAATTTCAACCAGGCAGAAACAGAAATTCTAACTGTCAAATGGAAGACATGAATATGCTATGGAACAAGAACTCTAGTAAGTCGAGCAAATACAATCATGACAGATATAATTGGCAGCAGCAAGAAAATGACAAACTTGGTACAGTTGCCACATATAGAGGTCCTTCTGAAGGATTTACAAGTGATACATTTCCTTCAGAAGGCTTACTCGACTTCAATTTTGAGCAGCCGGAAAGCCAAACCACTAAGCAAACAGACACTGCAACTTCCAAAGTAAGTGGAAAGAATGGCAGTGCGGCAAGGGAAAAGCCTCGTCGCTGGACACCTTACCCTTCTCAGAAGACTCTGGATTTACAGTCGGGATTGAAAGATGTCACTGGTAACAAGTCAGAAATGATAGAGAAACCTCTCTTTGATTTTAGCTTGATAACTGCGGGAATACAAGAGTCCCAAACTGATGAAACACATAATACCCCAACACAGAAAACACAAAAAGAAATACATACTGGATCTCTTAATCATAAAGCCTCTTCTGACTCTGCTGCTTCCTTCGAGGTAGTGAGACAGTACCCCATTACAGAAAAACCTGAACAAGAGCATACCCCAAATAAAATGCCATCATTGAAATCCCCGCTCCTTCCATGTCCAGCCACTAAATCATTTCCTCAAAAGCAAGATCCAAAGAATACCTCAAAAAACACCAAAATGAAATTTTTTTCTTCAGGAGAACGGTCAAATCCCTTGAACAAGAACCATGCAGAAGATAACCATGGTTCTTCTTACATATCCAAACTGCGTAGTTCATGTCCTCGCGTTTTAAAAGGGAATAAAAATACATTTGGCTCTCAAAAGGAATCTGGTGATAATTTAAATGATACATTGCAAAAGGCCAAAGAGGTGCTACAGTGTCATCAGTCATTGCAAAATCCACTTCTTAGCACTTCTAAAAGGACCAGGAACTATGCAAAAGCAAGTAGAAATGTAGAAGAATCTGAAAAAGGGTCTTTGAAAATTGAGTTTCAAGTGCACGCATTAGAAGATGAAAGTGATGGGGAGACATCTGACACAGAAAAGCATGGAACAAAAATTGGAACCCTAGGTTCTGCAACTACAGAATTACTATCCTGTAGCACTCATACTGCTGATGAGAAAGAGGAAGATGACCAAATCCTGAAGACTTCTAGGGAACTATCCACTTCCCCATGTAATTCCACAGTTCACCAGAAAGAATCTGAGTTACAAATGACATCTGCAGCCAGTTCACACCCTGGCTTATTGCTAGACTTAAAAACCTCTCTAGAAGATGCACAGGTTGATGGCTCTGTTAAACCTCATGTATCTTATGAAACAGAAGGCTTTGATAGTAGTAGCTTGGAAGCAGAGCTTCAGAAAAGTGATATCAGTCATCCCTCGGGCCCTCTCCTGCCTGAACTAAGTAAGCTGGGCTTTCCTGCCTCACTCCAGAGGGATCTCACCCGGCACATTAGTTTGAAGAGCAAAACTGGAGTACACCTTCCTGAGCCAAACCTCAATAGTGCCCGCCGCATTCGCAATATTAGTGGTCACCGTAAGAGTGAGACAGAGAAGGAGTCTGGGCTCAAGCCAACCCTACGGCAGATTCTCAATGCTTCTCGGAGAAATGTCAACTGGGAACAGGTCATTCAGCAAGTAACCAAGAAAAAGCAAGAGCTGGGCAAAGGCTTACCCAGGTGTGTGCTGCTTTTCCGTGTCTTTTTTTTTTCTCACTTTCTTTTAAAGTAACGCTTTGACCCTGATAAAGAGAATTCTACTTGTTTCATTTAATTAAATATTTGCCAACAGTATCTGTTGTAGATGTCTTGATTTAATATCAAATGATGACTGATACTCTATGACAGATGGAATAAAGTATTTCATAGCAGAAGGTACAGGTTAAAATGGAAGCACACCTACTTGAAAAACAAGATGGTGATGTAGAAGAAAAATAATCACTTTGTAGGGGTAAAATCCATCACTTTATAGGGGTAGAAAATGACAGCAGAAAAATGCATGTCTACAAATCTGTGTCTTTTTCTAGATCTTAATTTTAGAATGTATGCTATAACTGAATGATAACTGTTCTCATTACCTTTTACATAGAACCTATGAATAGTTAACTTTTTTATGACTACAACATGTTCTTTCAAGCACTTGTGTAATATTTTGGCTCTTCATCTTATATTGAGGTACTAGATTTTTCTGAATGGTAAAACAGGGTTCAACATGGGTTTGCTGCTTGAGAGTCATAACTCTGCTGCACGATAATACAGTTCTCCAGGCTTCAGGGGCATTTCTGTCCTTATTGAAATAATGGATTTAGTTCTTCCCACTTTGCTTCCCTACACCCTGTGAGTAGTACTTGGAATTATAAGTATAAAGCTTTTAGCATAATGTCTGGTACTTGTAAATGCTCCATAAAACAATAAAAGGGTTTTTTTTTGTTTGTTTTGGTTTGTTTGCTTTTAAAAATTACATGCTGTATGTATTATTATCAATATAGAGCTCCTTATGAAATAAAACTCAGTTTTTACTCCCTCACATATATTCTTAGAGCTATATGCAAATCTGTAATCTGGTACTTGTCACAACATAATATATTTACTTTATTTTTTTTTTTTT